CTGCTGGGGAGGACCGCGGGGGCCCAGGGTTGGCCCAGCGGCGAGGCGAGGGCAGGACTGAACCCCTTTGGGCGGGGCGCGGCGCTGGCCTTGTCTGGTTCTGCCAGTGCCCGCCCTCGCGCGCTCCAGCTGCCGCCTCCCTGTTCCCACCGCCCGGGCGCCCGGTCCGCCTGCCGCCCGCTGCTCCGGCCCCCTCGCCACCTGGGCTCCGCCCGCACTGCGGCTGCTGGCCCCGACCCCTCGGTGCGCCCGCGACGCCGCCCCGCGCCGCTGCCCGGGGCTGCCCCGCAGCCTTGTCGCCCCGCGCGCTCCCCGCGGCGCCGCCGCGTGAGAACGCCCCCCTTCCCCTTCCCCTCCGCGGCCGCCCTCTTCCCCTGCACTGCACGCGGGACAACTCGCAACGCCGCAGCCCGGCGAGGACGAGGGGCACGGATGAGGAAGCGCGTGGACTTGTCAGGAACACGACTGCCAAGAATCGAAGCGATCGCGCCGCCCACTCGCGCGCGCGCTCGTTATCGCTACACCTTGTTCTAGATTTTGGGCGATACCCCTAAGCGGCTTCCCTTCAACCAGCCCCTGGTTGTGCCCGGAATATGCTCCCACACACCCCTGCTGAAGACAACTCGCCAAGTAATATGCTCTCGATAGGCTGGTGGGGGGATGCGTGCAGCGTAAATTATACGGGCAGGCCCCCTGCGGGCCCGTGCGTTGAGAATACGCTGGTGCTACAAGGCTGGATAGGAAGAGGGCCAGGGCTGGCTATCTGGAAGGTGATGGGGGGCTCCAGCGATTGTCACCAAGCGATGGCCGCATCCCCCCTGTACAATGCGCCGCTCCTGGGCTCCAAACCGACTCAGATGTCTCCAAAACGGCCAAGACGGCCAGAAGATGGCCAAACGAAGAAGATGGGTCCAAGAGGGCTCGAAGACGGCCCCAGGAGACTCTAAAACTGCCAAGAGAGGCCCAAGACGGGCCAAGACGGCCCTCAGGCTTTCAAAGACACCCTGAATACGTCCTCGGAGGGCCTCCAGCGGCCCCCAAGAACCCTCCCGAGAGGCCTGAAAAATTACTAGACTGTGGCATTGACGGCCCAGGGCGTCCCGTATCGCTCCCAAACGGCCCGTCCCCGATAGAACCCCAGGAGGGCTAAAATACCGCAGGAGGGCCCCAAGACGCCCCAGGAGGGCCAAACGCTAGAACAGCCTCCAAACCCTGCCAAGGGACGCCACTCTGACCCCAAGAAGCGCCCCAACAGAGGCCCCAGAGCGCCAAAGAGGGCCCCAAGAAAGCCCCGGAACGGGATCCAGACCGCCCCCAAGCAGCAAAGTCCGGCCCATACATTTGAACACTCACGGGCTTCGCAATGTGCATGCTGCTTCCTGTGGAGGCCCGCAGCTTATTTCGCTTCGCGGGCTCAATCATTCGACTCAGCGTTAAAGACATGACAAGGGCGCATACCATATGATGCACGCAGGTCACAGACCCATTCTAGGGGGAAATGGCGACCTCTCCTGGAGTGCAAACCGCGCAAGTTGCGCCTGCGACGCGCGTGAGCACGCGCCCTCGCGGTGAACAACGCCGCAACTGATCTCCACCTCACTTGGCGGATTCTGGAAACTCTGAACTCAAAAATGTTGTCATCTCTTGGGGGCGCATTTTTGACTTCCGCCACCTTCCGACGCCCTGCCGCCGACAACCAACCTTCCGCCGCCTTCCGCCGAGGAAGAGATGGCATTTCTCTCGACTCTCGAAGGCAAGGCCTTTTTTGGACCGGCTCACTTGACGATCGTAGCGGGCGGAAATGCCTCGGATGATGGGCAGGAGGAGGATGATAATGAAAAGGGCCAGCAGGAGAAGAAGAGGGAGGAGACGAGGGACCAGCAGCCACACGACAAGGATTGGAACAAAGAAGGGAAGAGAGGACCGAATCGGCAAAGGGCACGTTGAGAACCCCAGCGCCGCGATGGGCTCCAGGACCCAGAAAGAGCAAAACCACAACGTGAATCGCATCAAATACAAATCTTTGAACGACCGGCGAGTACCATTGTCGACGGTAGTTTCGCCATTTCTGGCTGATGCCAAACTCACAGCGCTTGTCGCGAAGGGAGGAGGGAGGACGAGGAGGACAAGAGGAGGAAGACGAGGAGGAAAGAGAGGAAAGGAAGAGGTGGGTGCTTTGTGTTTTAAACCGTCTCCTGTGCAATGATACTCATGCAACGTGTATCAGGGTCGCCTTCTCGCGTGCACGTTGCCTGTAGCGTTCCTGCCAACCCGTCGAAAGCAATGCCACGCATCTCCCTGCCCGTGCGTTTTCTTTCCTTTTCAATCCCTCCTCCGCTTTCTCCCCCTGTCCTGCCCCGGCCCCTGCCTGATCCCCCATTCGGGCAACATGGGTGACGGCAATCAAGCAAGTCGCACCCGCGGATGACTTGAGGCCAGACATTGCGCGCGGCGCGCGGGATCAAGATCAGCCGACGCAAGATATCAACCAGTGGCGGACTGTGCGCATGCCGGCAGCAAACCCTTGGCATGGCAAGAAAAGGTTAGAATGAAACAATGGGGGCTTGTTCTGAAAACATGAGTGCCCAAAAATGCCCAAACGTGCCTTAAGAGTGCCCCCCAGGTGCCCGCAAACGACCGCAAACATTTGCGAAGTGCCTCCACAGCGCCCCCTGACAGCAACAGAAAACAGCTGGGACCATAACAACGGCAAGCAACAAATATTGCTGCTTGCGCTGCTACTAATTCTATCCCATTCCAATTGCTCTTGCTCGCGCCCTAGCCATCGTCCTCCTCCCCTCCTCATCCTTCTCCTTTTCATCGCCCTCCTGCCCAATCCCCCTCCTCCCGCTCCACCATCCCCCGACCCCTCCTCTTCCTTCCCCCCTCTTCTTCCCCACCCTCATCCACCCCCTCCTCATTCTTCTTCGTCCGACTCCTCCGAATTCGACTCCGCATCCTTCTCCCGTTCTTCCTTCCTCCTCCTCCTCTTCTTCCTCCTTCTCTTGTTATTCCTCCTTCCTCCTCCTCCTCCTCCGCATCCTCGGGAACGTCCTTCGGCAAGTTCTTGTTGAAGTCCCTCCTCCTCCACCGCATCCTCTTCCTTCAGTTGCTGGGCACTTTTGAAACATGGTGCGAACTTACGAACGTTCCCAAACGCATCGCTAGCACGTTGGGCAATTTAAAGCACATCTCCTAGCAGAGTGCCCAAAGCAGTCCAGAGGCTTTTTGGAAGCGCTCTGCGAACGTTTGAAAGTATTTCGGAAGCACTTCGGTGCACTGTTGAAGCACTTGGCGACGTTTGCGAACGTTCGCAAACATTTCGGAAGCATGTCCGACAACTTTCGGCACTGTGGACAACACTTTGCGAGCGTTTGCAGGCGTTTGGATGCACCCTCGCCAGAAACATTCCGGAGGCGCTTTGCGGACGTTTGCAATCACTCGGGGGCCTTCCGGCACTTTTGCGACGGTTGCGAACGTTCGACTTGTTTCCACGCCTCCAGAAAGTGTAACCAAAATGGCCAAACGTTCCCAGAAGTGATTACAATTGCCCCCGACGTGCTTGCCAAAAGTGCCTCCGACGTGCTCGCAGTTGTTTTGCAAAGTGCTGGCAAATGTCCCGAACGTACCTCCAAAGTGCTTGCAAACGTTCGCCAACGATCGCGAAATGCTTCAAAAGTACTCGAACATGTCCAGATATCCTCCAAGGTACCCCCCAACGTTTGCACAGCGCTCCGCAGCCCCTCCAGAAATTTTTGGGCTGCCTTTCCAACAAGTGCCCCCGGAAGTTACCAAAAGTGCCCCAAAGAGCCCCCAGACTGCTTGCAAACGTTCGCAAACGCTCGCAAAGCGCTTCGAAGCCGACGAAAAGTGTTGGAGAGCGCTTGCACAGTGCATGGAACCTTTAGCAAAACGCCTCGAAAGTGCCACCCATGCTGTATTGGGTTCTTGTTCAACACACGCGTTCAAAAGTTATCCATATTGCCCCCGACGTGCTTGCAAATGCTCGCAAACCTTCGCACAGAGCCTCCAAAGTGCCTGCGGGACCACGCAACCACGCAGAGCGCAGATAGCCCCGCGAAGTCAAGTCTTGCTCATGCTCGGCAGGCCCTATCATGTCCTGCACTCGTCGACGAAAGCGCAAGCGGCCGCGCAATCGCGAGCTCCCATGCTTAACATTGCGAGCCTTTGCCAACGAACATTGCATATAGAGGGTTCGCCGGCAAGGCCCCGAGCAAGAAGCCCCACGCATACTCATACTCAGAAATCTCGCGCTCAGACTCACCCACCTTCAGACGCATGTATGGTCGAATCCATGCACACTCAAACGTTGCTGCTATTTGCTGCAAATTGCTGCCATGCCCCCTCCCCCGTCGGTTGCTGCCGTGTGCTGTCATTTGCTGCGCCCTCGGACGAACGACCACTTGACAAAAAAGCTCCCACGGTCTCGGGGCTCCCCTTGCGACACAAGCGTTTGTCATGCAGAGTCGTGTTCCGACGGTTCCTAGAGACCTTTCAGGAACCCCAGAGTAAGAAAACGGCGAAACAACCGGGACGCCTTTCCTGAACGACATCTTTTGCCACAACCCGGGTACCTGCGTCGACAGAACATGTTGTCGCTTGGGTGGGCATAGTTTTTCTTACGCTGGCCTCTGTAGGCCTTCCAGAGCGAACTCCCGGGCTTTGCTTCCGACAACTTTCCACCGGCTTCGCCGAAGCAGACGCCAACCTCCAGATTCCTCGAAGGCGAGGCCCTTTCCGGAACGTCCTTCATGGTGAAGTTCCAGACCCCCGGCGTTGTGATTTGATCATACCTTGGACCCCTGGAGGTCTTGACGCCTTCCCTGGGGCCAATTTTTGTTTCATCCCGAATCGTTCTTTGACATTGGGTGCCAAGGGCCCAGTAGGAGGGGCCCGGGGAATCGAAAATTGTCCCCCCTCCTCTTGTGTGAATGCTTCACGACGCGGGGGGGTCTGGGTCTCTCCCGTGGAGCTGGCACTTTCCCGCGCAATCGCCGAGCACGCTGGTGCGGCGAGGGTGGAGAGCTGTGTGCGGAGGACGCCTCGCGCGTCAGCTTGCACGAAAACCTGCGGTGGACCACAAGATGAAGAGAGCGAGAATGAGAAACGTGGAATTAGCCTGGCGAAGGACCCGACCACATGCAGTTGCGAGTGACGCAGTTTTGCGCATCGCTTTCGGTGGAGCTCCCATTGGGGCCACGAAACATGTGAGGGGTGTGCCATCATTGGTGGGGCCGCCGCCTGTGGACAGTGACGCTGGGTCCTTTAGAGGAGCTCACATTGGGGCCATGCAGCATGTGAAGGGTGTGCCGAAATGGGCGAGCGGACGCTGTGCGAGCCCTGCCACTGGGACCTTCGGTGGAGCTCCGTATGGGGCCACGAAACGTGTGAGAGGTGTGTGCTGACAAGGGCTGGGGGACGCTAAGCGAAACCTGCCACCGGGGCCTTCGGTGGAGCAGCTCCCTATGGGGCGCTCCCTATGGGGCCATGAAACATGTGAGAGGTGTGCCGAAATTGGCGTGGGGCCCATACTCGAACACTGCCACTAGGGCCTTCGGTGGAACCCCCCATGGGGCCACGAAACGCGTGAAGGGTGTGCTGACGTGGAAAACTGCCCCGGGAACCTCCCACGCTTGCAATTAGGACTTAGATGTCACACGTTGACGGATTCACGCTCCCCTTCAATCAGTTCGCTCATCGCGAACATCTTTCCTGCTCGGCTTAGTTTGGAAGCTGCACGAGGACCCCATCCACGTCTTTGGTCGTGCAGCGCTCCCACCTAAGCGTCCTGGCCATGTCCACTGGTCCTCTTAGGGGGAGCAGAACAAATCGAAACCACGCGGTGGATCCCTGATTCCAACCAGGATTTCAACGTATGACAGCTACGTCGTCCTGTTGGAACCCTGGTCTCCGGGTGGCGCAGGAGCAAGCGGGAGATGGAATTCCGAACAAGGACAGCTGGCTCAAATCTTGTGTGGTAGCGCAGAACAGTACGCGCACGATCGTGTGCGTCTCGTTTCCTGCACTCCAGCCCCAGATTCTCCCAAGCGGGATCTGAGTATTCAGACATCCCCCAGACGTTCCTTGAAGAGTGCTCTCTACGGGGCCTTCGCTATCCCTGGTTGCCTCCCAGGACAGACCTGCCGACCCGACCATGAAATACCATGAGCCTGATATGACACCTCACAACGCCCTGCTTTCGATTCAGAATTATGAGCACAGGCGACCCAGATGGCATGATGGAAACGGATGCGCACCGGTTCAAACAAGACAACACCACCCATGCTTAATGATATACGTGTACGCAGAGAAATCGAATACCAAATGGCGCAACCGGTAACCGCCTCAGAGTTGCGCCATAAGTGTGCTATGTTTACCTGTTTGTGTATATATATATATATACATATATATATATGTATATATATATATAGAAGTACACACCCACGTCCACACTTGTAAGTCTGCGGCGCAGCGGAACCTCAAGCGCGGTCGGCAAATGGAGGTGACACTTGCGAACGAATTTAGCCAAACGCGCCGTGATAAAAATCCAGCCGCAGCCACCATACCGGAAGTGGTTGTGAAAAGAGCAAAGCCAAAAAGCAACGGCAAATCATCCCGCGAAGCGTAGCCCACCCACGTCCACACAAACACATGTGTGTGTGTGTGTGTGTGTCACACACACACGTGTATACAAATGTCACACGCACAGATCGGTATACATATGGAGGCGTGCAACACAACTATACATTATCCTGGCGAAGGACAGAAACAAATGCAACTGTGAGCACCGCGTTGCGGGTACCACTTTTGGCTGAGGTCCATGTGGGGTTCCGAAACGCGTGAAGAGTATGCCGTGATGGGTGGGGAAATCGCATGTGCCGCGGCCACTGGGGCCTTCGGAAGAGCTCCCTATAGGGCCCCGGAACGCGTGAGAAGTATGCCGAAATGCGGCGGGGAAACGCATGAAGACCCTGCCGCTGGGCATTCGGTGGAGCTCCCTATAGGGCCACGAAGCGTGTGACGGGGGGGCGACATGGCGCGGGTGGACGCACGTGAGCCCTGCCACTGGGCATGTCGGAGTTCCTTTTGGGGCCACGAAACGCGTGAGTGGAGTTCAGCAATGGGGCGGGGGAACACGTGCGAACCCCAAGCGGGTGAGGGTTGTGCCGAGATAGTGCGAGCGGACGCATGCGAACTCTGCGACTGGGGCCTTCGGTGAAGCTCCCGAAAGAGCCCCGGAACGCTTGGGGTGTGTGCCGAAATGGAGCGGGGAAACGCATGTGAACGCTGCCGCTGTGGCCTTCGGTGGAGCTCCCTATGGGGCGACGAAACGTGTGAGGGGTGTGCCGCACTGGGGCGAAGGGATGCATGCAAACCCTGCCAATGGAGCTTTCGGAGGAGCCCTATATGGGGCCACGTAGCGTGAGAGGAGAATGCTGACATGGAGCGGGGGGGCGCATGCGAATCCTGCCACTGGGGCCTGCGGGGAAACTCTATATGTGACCACGAAACGTGTGAGTGTTGTGCCGAAATGGTGCGGGGAAACGGATGTGAACCCTGCCGCTGAGGCTTTCGGATGAGCTCCCTATGGGACCCCGAAGCGTGCGACGTGGGTGCCGCAATTTGGGCTGGGAGGCGCATGCGAACACTGCCAGGAGGCGTGTGAGGGGTGTACCGAAATTGTGGGGGGGTGACGCATCCGATCCCTGCCACAAGGGCCTTCGGATGAGCCACTTATGGGACCACGAAGCGTGTGAGGGGTGTGCCGAAACAGAAACATGCGGAGGGCATAGGCAAGGAAGGGGCGGAGGGCGAGGAAGGAGAGGAGAGAAGGCGCAGGGCGCTGTGTCTTCACAACGAGGATCCAAAACCACAGGAGGGTTGGGGCCGAACAGTGACACTGCACGCTGTATACATATATATATATATATAAATATATCCACGCCAGCCTTGAATTGAAGCCACGGATGCCGCTGTGAGTGCTGCAGACAAAAGGGTGCCATGCGCACGGGGACTCACTGGAGTTGTAACATGGGAGCTCAGCCTAACAAATACGAAGCGGGCGGTACGTTGGGCGCGTGCGCGTGTATCCGCCACCGTGCCGCGGTAAACTGGGCGGAGTGCCCTCAGACCCCTCAGAGCTTTATGCTGAAAGCATGCAGCATCATGAAGTACAGCAACTGCTTTTCTGGGGATCAAGACGTTCATGTTCTGGGCGCTACGTGGCGCTCGCTCCTGGGCGTTCCTGGGAGCTCCACAGGCTTCACGCCGGTCTTTTTCCGAGGCCCTTGAAGGGTCGCCGCGGGCATCAAGACCCCACTCTGCCTGAGATTGCCCAACGGGGCAGTCCTGGCCTGGGGACTGTCTTGGGAAGCATCTTGGTCCCAAGGAGGCCCTGTGGGGCGGTCCGAGAAGCCCTGCCAATTCAACCACACCGATCTAATGGATGGCTTTCGCATGATTCGTTTTCTCTTGTTGAGGGCGTCTCAGATGCCCACGGCTCCCACAAGAGAGCCCCAGACTGCCCCCGCGGTCCCAAAGAGGGGCCCACGAGGGCAACGATGCCTTCACGATTTGGGGAACCCGCCCAAGAGGAGGTCTGAGGCAGCCTGCCAGCCCCCAAGACGCTCGCGAGAGGCACGCATGGGCCCCCACGAAGACGCCCCCCCAGAGGCGCCCACGAAGTGACCCAACAAGTTACCAGCCTCGAACGTATCCCTACCCCTAAGGTTGACACGCCAGAAGGCGATGACAATCTTAGGGATTCGCCCTCAAAAAATAAGGGGATGCCTAAGATTGGCGTCGTGATGAGGAAGTGCCCAGCATAGGGATAGGGATATGTTCCAGGCTGGTAAACAAGCCCCAACAGGCCTCCAGGATGCTCCCCAAGATGCCCCATCCAACATACAATAGGCCTTTTGTCCATTACCCGGGCACGGTGGCGTGACGGGTCGACCGCCCCTGAGCAGCGTGCATATTATGCAGGCGTGAGGCGCTACTGCGCGTACGTCCACCGACTACGTATGTGTAAACAAGCTGCTGTGGGCACCAGGTGGCACGGAATACATGCAAGTGTGTGCGATATGAATGCGGGCGAACACCAAATAATCATACACCGTGCATCGCCCAACAAACACTTCCATACAACACACGTGCGTTACGTGCGTTGACGTGGCAGCAACGGTGACGTGTACACTAACCGAGCACCTCTACGTTTGAGCAAGCTGGGCACCACACGGCCGACGAAGTGTGGTGCAAGCAAAGCTGCAACTGCTGCTGCGACGTAGGATTTCACATCATATGGCGCAACCCAACCGTGGCGCTCTCCTTACGACAGCACGTACGCGGCGTTTGGTTCGACATGGCGCTGCCACACACAAACACTGTCTACTGCTGTGCGTTCGATCCTGCGGCACGTACTCCGTGAGGGGAAATCTCTACTGTCACACTGGAGCCCTGGAGGCTCACGTAGTGTCGTCTGTTCGCGTAGGGCACTTACATTACCAACTCGTGAACACCACCAAGCTTTTGTTGTGTGATCGCTGGTGCAGATTGCCGTATGTATGCGCCGTGCAAGATGCGAATGGGCGAGGCTCCGAACAACTGATAAGGGCACCATAAAAGGAAAACTGGAGGGCAGGATGCGAAGGGGTGAGGCTCAGAAGAGATGATATAGACCACAAGCATGGGAAAATGCGCGTACAGCTCGGGCCTCCTTAGAAAGGATAGGCCAACACATCAGCGACAGGGGACTTATGGCTCCTGCATTATGCAGTGCACTGACTGCGTCCCCCCGCAGCATGGCAGAGAATCGTCGCTTCGTGCGAGTCGACGGGAGTTCCACCTCCAGCTCGTCAAACATCCCACAGAAGATTCACCATGTAGTGTGTTGCCATCTACTCAGGAGGAGGAGAAGGAGGAGGAGGAGGAGGTGAAGCCTGGCCGAAACTCAGAGGAGGAGCGCCAGTACCCCATGAGTCCGTGCTCCTCGGAGCCGCCCTAACGCCTTTGGCTGTAGGGCCGAGTTGAACCAAGTGGCAGAGGAACAATCGAAAACTTACTTGGCTGTTTGGCTTGCGCGGCTTTCGCAACCTTAAGCTGCTGAGGGGGAGTGAAATTGACCGACCGTCATGTTTGGATACCGCTGTTGATCTATGTGGCAGACGTAGAAGCAGAAAGTGATGGCCAGGATCACGTCATCTCGCAGGAGCTCGACAGATGGAGATTACACTTGGAGCCCAAGACCGAGGCGGGTAATTAGGCACGGAGGGGCGACAACTCCGGGACGACACGTGAGATGAGCAAGTCCGGGACACCTGAAGTAATGAGCAATGCTGTGTGCATCCGGTCACACAGCACTCAGAAGAGGAGAAGGAGGGGGATGAGGACTCCCCAGGACCCCTCTTCCACCCCCAGGACCACCCCAGACGCGTAAAAGCAAGCTGTATCCATAGACACTTCTCTATGTACGAACATCGATATTTAATATATATATATATATATGTATATATATATAGAGAGAGGTATATATATATATATATATGTATGTGTATATGTATGTATGTATGTGCATAAAGACTGCCGGACTTGAGCGGATTTCGGTTGGAGGGGAAGGGGAACATGCAGGGAAGGACAGGGGGAACCGAGGAGCGGGGGAGCCGACGGAGCTCGCGCTGCGGGGTGGGGGGGCGCCTCCCCGTCCCCCCCCCTGCCCCGCTGCGCCCGTGCTGCGCGTTCCACCTCCTCGCGTCGCCCCCTCCTGTCCCTCTGCCCCTGCGCTCCGACCTGCACCCGCTTGCCTTCATGCTCCCCCCCCTGCAGCCGCTGACCGTGTCTTTGCTTCTCCTGCAGCCGTCCCGTATCGCAAGGACGCGCGATAGGTATGACAAGGGCCTTGGACGGCCATTTCGAACTTTTCGAGCGGGGCGCGGCCAACGAAAGTGGACGATGATGGGCTGAGGAGGCAAGGATGCAAGGGTACCCTTGGGAAAATTGCCCATCCTTACTACGCGGGTTGACTGTATCTGGGAAAGCGTCCGTCCACACCGATGAAAAAACGCCAGCTCCCCCACGTATGGGAAGGGAGCTACACCGTGCTAGAACTGGTCAGAAGGGAGCCAGTAACGAGACGCTGCGCCAACTCAGAAGTCAGTCACGCGGCCCTCCGCAAGGCCACCGCGGAAGCAGCGGAGCGATGATGAAGAAGACGACGAAGCAGCGTAGAGACAATCGACAATGGCGCGAATCACATGGCTTCGAGCAGTTATCGAGCAAAACTCCGAACAGGGCCCGCGGGCCCCTCACAACAACCCCGCATCAAATCTTGCAGTGCAAGCAGCTTGCTCACCGCTCTTGTCCATGCAGTGCTGCTGGGAGTCCAGCGTAGCAAACTCGACGGCTCAGAATGACCTTTCCAGAACTTCGGCATCGAGGATGCCCTTCAAAGGTGAGCAACATTGAAAAGACCTTGGCTGCCTTCCTGTATCCTCCGAGCTGCTGTCACACAAGCTGCTCCATGCACGAACTGATCACCCTGAAAACCCCACCCCCAGGTCGGGAGGACTGGGTACCTACACCAGCTGGCAGCTGGGAAATCCGCCGAAGAGGCACGAATACGATTCGGCACGTCCCCCCCAAACCAGAACACCAGCAAAAGGCTGCATTCGACCTAGAGGACAAGGACGACTTCGAGCCTGACTCTACAACCCTCCTCGAAATCAAACGCAAGTTTTTTTTCTGCTGGCTGATGCGCAAAACGCGGCCCACCGTGTCAGACTTTTGTGCTTGCAGTCGCCAATTTCGGCGCGAGCATTGCGATGCTGGGGGCCTGGGGCGCCGCCACGTCGAGGGAAAAACTTGCGTTTGATTTCGAGGGGGGATGTAGACGCCCACCCCCGCCTTGTGCGCCCAGTCCCCGTGGAGGGTCGGCTCTGGCCCCCGGTACGTGAAGCCCACCTCCTGCGGAGCGCTGGGGCTTGCGCTTTCTAGGCAGCGTGCGCATGCCCCGAATGTTCCAGCTGCGCATGAGAGCTCGTTGAGGCATCGTCAGCCTGTGCGAACGGGCTGCACCAGGCGGTCCCGCTGAATGGGGGCGATCTGCAATGTGCGATGCCTCAAAGAGCACGCGAGACTAGTCGCATCGTCCCGCTTGGTTCGCATCATGCCCTCTGCTGCTACTCCTCATGCTTCTGCCATTGCGACACTAGCTGATCATTGCCGACGCTACTCATTTCTGTCAGTGTTACAATGCTGCTGCTACTGCTGCCACTGAAGCGTGAGCTTCTGCCACAGCTGCTGCTACTGACAACGCCGGTGAATTTAAACCTGTTAGTGGCACTGTTATGTCTACTGCTGCTGCTTCTCCTCATCCTGTCGGCTTAGCGGCTACACGTAAGAGTGACCCTTGACTAGAATGACCTTTGGTGCGCGGCTTTTGGGGCGCCCGTGGGGACCGAACGCAACCGCGGAACGCGCCTCGAAAGATCCTTAGCGCCACCAGACGGCCGCAGAATGTCGCCAATTCGACTCGACCGCCCCGAATGGGACCCCGAAGGCGCTGCGAAAGCAAACGCTGCCTGGGGCAACCACGAAGAGGTCTGGCACTGCCCGGCCGCGTCGCGATGACGTCTGACAGATCCAGCGTCGTGGCCAAAATCGGAGCTCAAAAAAGTGTGCAGGATGTGTTTGAATATCTCCAGGTAGATCTGTCAAAAATAAAGAGCCCCACTGGTATTCGAACATGTTCCATACACACGGTGCAGCATGTGGGCTGGGATTCGGGACCGGTCCTGGGGCGGAAAACACGCCGACCTGACGACCGGCCTCCCCTCGGGAAGCTAACTCGCGCGGTAGGATGGTCCACGTGAGCGTCGCGATCGATTGCGAGGGGGGCCAATCGTGGTACGCTCAAAAGCGAGCGCAGCCCCACGCTGCGGGTGCCGACGCGAGATCGAGCTCAACACCAAAGGAAACGTACCCGACCCCGTTGGGCCAGCGCCAAAAGTGACTCCGGCGAAGGGTCACTCTTACGTGCAGCCGATCCTGGTCCTCCTGCTTCAACTGCTGCTGCTGCTACTGCTGTATGTGTTGTCATGGCTGCTGGCTACCAGTGCTACTACGGTTGCTGCTACATCACCTGCTACTACTCCAGCCAGCAAGAAAAGTATTAGCTCCTGATGCTGCCAGGGTTGCTACTACTGCTACTGGTCCAGAGCGGAGGCGGGAGCTCGATTCAGATCTAGGGCCGTGGCAGACGGTGGTGCGAGAGAACCATTCCTGACTGATAACCTCATGCCCGTGAGAATTCGCCGGCCCAACGGGCCAGGGCGTGCTAAGATCTCCGGTAACTGGTTAACAGTATTAACAGTATTTCTAGTTCGCGCGCGCGGGGCGGCCCCTGGGGGTCCCCCGGCGAAAAGTACCCCGACCAACGCCCGACCGCCGCCCGACCGCCGCCCGACCGCCCGACCAAGTCTACTCAGAGATGGTTTTCCTTCTGGGTGCGGCCTCTCAGGCTCCCCAGAGCGCGCTCAGAGTGCCCCAAGAGGCCCCCAAGACTGCCCAAGAGGCCCCCGAGACGCCCAAAGAGCGCTCGAAGACGCCGAAGATGACCCCAAGACGGCCCAAAAGGCCCCCAAGACAGCCCAAGAGGCCTCCAAGACGCCCCAAGAGCCTTCCAAGAGGCCTCCGAAGAGAGCCCCAAGAGGCCAAAATCGTTGATTTTCATTTGTTTTTTCGATGTTTTTTGTGTTCTGGCTTTTTCGGCTTCCGGACGCTCCAAGACGGCCCAAGAGGCCCCCAAGACCGCTCCAAGACGGCCCACGAGGCTCCCAAGACGGCCCCGGAACGGCCCAGGAGGGCCCCCAAGACGGCCCAAGTGCCGCCCAAGACGGACCAAGAGGCCCCAAGACGGGCCCAAGAGGGGCTCAAGAGGGGAACCGAGAACTGAAAAATCGAGCCCTCCGCCCCAGAAGGCGCCCAGGAGGCCCCAAAAAGGCCCCAAGAGGCCCCCAAGAGGCCCCCAAGACGCCCCAAGAGGCGCCCAAGAGGCCCAAAAGAGGCCCCAAGAGGCCCCAAAACGGCCCCCAAAACTCGGCTAGCCCACAACGGTGCGACAATATGGGCCGGCGGAATGAGCGAAGCGATTAAATAAACACTAGGGGATAATAAAGTTCGGGGTTCAGGGAGAGATAATAAAAGTAGCCCAGCAGACCTCAGCATAATCTCGAAGTAAGAGATGATCAAGAGGAGACCAAGCCGAGCACGTTTTGAGACATCCTTGGCGTTTAGTTTTCATAGAAATATCCTCAACAATGGCTTATCTCTCATGAAAATTGTTTTTTGTAAGTGCTCGTGTAGGGTAGCTCATGTGCCTCAATTTCCATGGATAATCAACCCCAGAGATAAAAAAGTTCAGGCGAGCGTGGGGACAGAGAGAAATATAAAAGAAGAAGAATACAGTATAATAATAATAATAAGAAAGAAGAAGAGGAGAATAAGAAGAGGACGAAGAAATGAAAAATCCAAAGTTCCAAATCTATCAATTTTAAGTTACAAACGCTTTATGAAAATTGATTTTTTTAAGTGCTCGTGTAGGGTAGGTAGCTCATCTGCTTCATTTTCCATGGATAATCAACCCCAGGGATAAAAAAGTTCAGGCGAGCGTGAGGACAGATAGAAATATAAAAGAAGAAGAGGGAAGTAGAAGAATAATAAGAACATTGCTCGTTTCGTTTGAGTCTGCCTCCCAAAATTATTGGTTTCGCTTGACACATTGATGTTGCTATAGCAACATCGCTTGATGTTGCTATCTCAACACAGCGTTTCGAGGTGATAATGAAGTTCGGCCTCAGCGCTCGCCGCCCAATTTGAATTTTGTATAGGGCGACGATAATCAACTCTAAACACTGAAGGGGGGGGGTCCCTTTATTATCATCGGCATGCGGTTAGTGTGGCCGGCGCTGAGACGGGAGTATCATT